TTGTAACTACTTTACAAATAATATTTATGGTTGATTTATTAAGTAATACTATTAAAGAGTTTAAGCTAGTCCTTTTCATAAGTGAGTTACCTGTTCAGTAACCCAACTATATTCAACTGAAACCCATTTTTCACGGAAAGTTTGCTATCCAAATTTTCATAAATTACATGCTAGAAAAATCCAAATTACAGAGTAAATGGCAAATGGTAAGTTACCCTGAATAGAGTGTTGAGAATTCGGAAATCCTAAGTTCTTGTCTTAACTCTGTCCCTAAATTACTGCAATTACTGTGAGTCTCAGTTTCTGCATCTGTAAAATGATAAAGTTGGACCATGTCGTAACTACAATTTATTGAGCTATTATTATGTGCCAGGCCTTGAATGTAGAGCTTCATACACATTATTTTATTACACCACCATTTATTTCTTCCATTAGCTCTTTTAGTACATAATACTTTTTTTTGCTTTATTCTGTGCAGAGCAGAAAACCGAGGCTCACAAAGACTAGGAAACTTTCCCAAGATCACACAGTTAGTAAGCAGCAGGACAGAGACTCAAACTGGTTTACACTTGGTTCAGAGCCCACACACTGAACTACTACTTGATTCTGTTATTTTTACAGGATCTCAAAGATTCTTCCAGCTACAAAATACTTTTCTTGTATTTCTAAATAGCAATCCATTTCAGGATTAACAGGGCTTCATTGCTATCATAGTACATTTGGACCAGTTTGTGACAGATAATTTCCAGTTAATCCAATTATGATCAAAATGTGAGCTGAGACCTACTAATTCGATTATAAGTGACTCAGAACTAATTTTGAGTAAAATTGAGGAATACCAGTCAAGAAAACATCAATGGCCGTAAGATGCCATAACTTACTCTGCAGCTTATTTTGACTATATTTTAGGAAGAAACCCCATTTAGATGAACTCTGTCCTGAAGGGGAAATTAACCACTCTTGGCTTGTTCCCAGTTAGTAAAATCCTAAAACAAATACAGATTTCCCCCCTGGTTTCCAAACCCTTTACTCCACCCCAGCCACCACAAACACAGTCTGACAGTGTGGTCTGACTGCTTGTTGTTGGTGGCAGTGACTTTAATCCTACCCCACCTCCTCCAAGAAGGAGGTTGGACGACAAGTGAATCTATCAGCAAGCTTAGGTTTAGCTCCTGGAGTATTTCACATGCTGTCTGAGGAACCGAGAGTTGGAGCTATAAAGAAATATAATACATGGCCCATTGCCTTATAGATGTCTCAACACTGAGGGCACAAACGGAACAGATAAAAACGCAGAACAGAGTAAAGGATATGTTAAGAGCTCAGCTTCTGTGGTGGACGTGGAGGGAGAAGCTGGGAGGAAGACAGGGAGATGGAGTTGAGGTATAGACAAGACTTGGATTGGCTGGGGAGAAAGGGAAGGGGAAGGAGAGGAGGGGCATTCTGGGTAAGAAAATTAGGATAGGGAACGAGGAAGGAATGAGTGCAATGTGCTATAGCATTGTGAAGAGAACTTCTCTGCTAGCAGACTTCTAACCAAAACCTCAGGTAACGACTAGAAAATTCCATCAGGAAAGGTCTTCACAGGCAAGAACTTTATCTCTTTCGCTTATTACTATATCCTTGGTGTCTATAACAATACTCGACACAGAGTAGGTAGTCAACACATATCATTCAATGCCTGAATGTTGTATTTCATGTGGCTCTCAGTGTCGTCCCTGGACCATCATCATTGACATCACATGGGAACTTGCTAGAAATAAAAATTCTCAGGCCCCACTCCAGACCTACTGAATCAGAAACTCTAGAATTAGGTCCCAGAGTACATAGTTTAACAAGCTTTCCAGGTGATTCTGATGCACGTTGAAACTTACAAACCACACTGAGTTCTGTGGCTCACACCTATAATCCCAGCACTTTGGGAAGCCAAGGCGGCCAAATCACTAGAAATCAGGAGTTCGATACCAGCCTGGCCAACATAGCGAAGCCCTGTCTCTACTAAAAATACAAAAATTAGCCAGGCATGGTGGCATGTGCCTGGAGTCCCAGTTACTCGGGAGGCTGAGGCAGGAGAATCACTTGAACCTTGGAGGCGGAGGTAGTGGTGAGCCAAGATCACGCCACTGCACTCTAGCCTGGGCACAGAGTGATACTCCATCTCAAAAACAAAACAGAAACAACAACAAAAAATTAGCCAGGTGTGGTGGTGTACGCCCATAGTCCCAGCTACTTGGGAGGCCGAGATGGGAGGATCACCTGAGCCTGGGGAGGTTGAGGCTGCAGTGAACTGTGACTGTGCCACTGCATTCCAGCCTGTGTGACAGAGAGAGATCTGGCCTCAAAAAAAAAAGTATGAACCTTGGATGTATACCAAAGTCTGATTACAGCAATTTTTTTACTGCTTCTAAAATCCATGATACTCTTCCTAGTGTGCTCTAAAATGGAAGAATAGGGATATTTATTATTTAAATGTTGGCAAGTAACATCTGAAACACTTAAACGCTGGTAGTAACATCTTTGCATTTTAAAGAACGCATTGTCTAAATTCAAATAAGTAAAACTAGATTTATCCATTTATCAGGATTTAGACTGTCTCTCACAGGAAGAGGAGGTAGGAACCCAGGCTCTGGGAAGTCAATACTACCAAAAATCAAAAGTGAATTTAAAAATATGAATTAAATGATGAGATACTAGTTTAAGACGGCTGATTGACCTAAGCATTTTCCCTGCCTTTTAAAAGTCTAATAAAGTAATAGTAAAAGAGTAACCCATAAGAGCAAAGAGAATGGAAAGGACCCAAGAGCTCTTTCAATTAATGTCTGAAAAATGGAAGAGAACAAAAAACTGTGGGGCCTTCTTGGAACAACTCAAGGGAACTGGTGCTGCTGTTAGTAATTGCTTGATGCAGCTTCCTGAGGAGCTGCAGCCTTAGGAGTAGCAAGTCTCCCTCTGTTCCTGAAATAAATAAGCATTCTTCATGATATTTCATAAAACTAGAGAACTGGGCCGGGCACGGTGGCTCACGCCTGTAATCCCAGCACTTTGGGAGGCCGAGGTGGGTGGATCACCTGCAGTCAGGAGTTCAAGACCAGCCTGACCAACACGGTGAAACTTAAAAAAAAAAAAAAAAAAGCAAAAATTAGCTGGTGTGGTGGTACACGCCTCTAGTCCCAGCTACTTGCAAGGCTGAGGCATGAGAATCACTTTAAACCAGGAAGCAGAGGTTGCAGTGAGCTGAGAAAAAAACCTAGAGAACTGGAAGAGACATTGGAAATTGAAATTCTAAACTCTATATTAACCAAATAAGGAAACTGAGGCATAGGAAGTTAAGAGATTGTTCCTGGTAACAGACTGGTTACTCATAAACCTAAGTATCCACCAATCCTTTTCTGGGTGTGTCTTCTGTCGTATCCCACTGCCTGTCTGAATTCACCAGGATCACCAAAGGCTTCCATGACGAAGTGCCACATCACATGGATCTCTGTCACACCATTTCATGAGGTGTAGACAAGAATACTGAACTAGGTCATAACAGTCACACCCCCAGCTCTGAGCATTTGTGACTGTTGATTCATCCATCTGTATTGTGTTTGTGGTGGGATCTACAGTGTATTGGGGGTGGGGCAAATGAAGATGAAATTGTTAATTTGCATTTTCAAGTCTTTTTCATTTTAAAAATTATGTTTGCTCATTAAATAAATTAACTCCATCACAGTAACTATAGAGTATTATTTGATGTTTAAACATCCCCTGGAACTCACTACTATTCATGCTTTGTTTAATATTCTGTTTAATAGTCTTATGAGTTTATCAAACAATCAGCATTTCTTTAATCATTAATGAACATTCCCTTAAATATTTGTGCATAACTTACAACTAAAAAATTAAAATATAGATCCATCAAATAATTTCCCAAATATTTAAATATTGATTGCTAATACAAATACTTCTAAATATTTGATTAAAACTACAATTTTACTATTATCTTTAGAATTTGAACGCTTAAAACGAAGACACACAAACACACACTATTAAAGGGATAAAAACTAATTTGTACCCTGAAGCTAAAACTAGTTCTCCAAATGTTAATATTATAGACTTAAGTAGCAGCAAGTTATTTGTATTTCTTTTCAGGTTTGCTTTCCTTACATTTCTGTAGTTTTAGTATTTTTGTATCTCAGTAGACTGAAGGAAAAGGATCAGTCTCAAAAAGCGACAGTTATGGTACCTGGGTAATGAATGGATTGACATCTGATCTGTTGCAATATCTAAGGTAGTTTTCATTTTCTCCTTTTTTATGATAAAGTTTCATTTGTTACATCACAGCAGTTTTAACTGTCTTTACACAGATTTAAATATTATAAACCTAGTGTTTTTCCAAAAATGATTTATTCTTTAGTTGGGCACAGCTGGTAGTAGCTAACACATTGACTTGCCATTTTGATATATTGATTCTGCCTATTAGCATTATGAAACAGTATTATAAATCTTACTGGTATTTTATTTAACATGAAACTTATTAGATTTTATTATACCTAAGAGGACTATCTAGAGCAGAACTTTGCAACCAGCATACTATGTAATTCCCCATTCCTATGTGAATCACTGGGGTGCCACCATATAGATAGATCCCTTCTACCCTGAGCTGCTTGGAGCCTGGAGTGTTTGGGAAATCTGGAAGAAGGAAAAGGGGGTATCAAACATAGCCTTACACTGTGTCATGAGTTAATGTTTTGTTAGATACATGCTATCATTTTCTCTATGTGCCATGAACTGAAAGGTTTGGGAAGCACTGGTCAGGAGGATTCATCTCCAAAAGGGAGACGGAGTCGGGGTGGTCATTTCTCTTCTTCTCTAGGACATACAGCTAACTCGTCCTTTAGAACACACTGTGGCATGTACCTTCCACTTGATTATTTTGTGTGAGCACTCCTGGTGAACTGTGGGACCCCGTTTTGCCAGTTTTAATTGGTTTTTCTCATTCTTCTTATAGCACATACCTACTTTCCTCAGAATTACATACAGTTCTCTCTATTCTTTCCTGCTGAAACAGAAAATAACAGGTAATGAACTATAAATTATGAATTATTTCTTATTAAGAAACAAAACATTTACATTTAAGTATATATTCTAAATTTACAAAGCAAAAAAAAATTAAAACAGCCTATCATATTAACCCTCTTTGTATTACAATGATGTTTTTATACACTTTATATTTTCATATACTTTTTTGCATCATTAGAAACTGAAAATGTCTCCTAGAGAGTTGCAACCTACTTTGATGAAACATTATGTTACTCATTTTATCTTTTCTATTTTGTTGAGTTCAATCTAGCTAAAGGAAGCCTCTTTAAGTTGACTCTTTTGCCTTTTGAACATTGCCTCTGGCATTTTATAAAAATATGCATGCTGTCTCAGACTCATCCTGACATTTCCCTGACCCCAAGACATGGAATCCACTACCTTTTAAAGGATCTTTCTCTAGTGGAGAAAGTAAGAGAGAGTTTACATAGAATGCTGAACCTTAGTGTAGTATGTTTCCATAGGCTACTTTTCTTAGAGTAGGCGGCTTTATCAGTCCCTAATATATCTTTCCACATTGACAAAACCAACAACAACAACATCCTATGATCCCATTATCCCCCCACACCAAAAATTGGTCTTTCTTGTAGGTCCTGCAAGCTTTTTGTTCTTGAACAAATCTTTGACTTAGTATGTTCCTCTTTTAAATAGGGATGATTCTTCAATGTAACAGGTAGTTGACAGGATTAAAGGCAATAGAAAAAGACCCTGAAAATGAAAACCATTTTTATTACCTACTCCTACCGTATTCTACTCACACATGATTTGCTCAAGAGTCCTTTGACTCCCCTATGTTTTTCTACTTCCTTATCTCTGCTCTCCTGCTAAAATGCCCTTTAAAAAATGTGTAACTGTTGAAACCAGGCTCAGCTTGAAAGCAGCCTCCTTTGGGAGCAGTCTGGGGTGTCCAGGCAGAATGAGTCCTTTCTTTGCTCTGTTTCAGCCGAACCCCAATGATTCTGCTCTTAAATCATTGGATTATGTGTATTTATTCACACTTCTGTCTCTCCTAATAAGTTTGTGGAGGACAGAGATAATATTTTGTTCATCTTTACATACAAAGAGCTGCACATAGTATCTTGTGTGAAGTAAACAAGAGATGTTTACTGAATTGATTGTTGATTGGGTTAAATCACTCACTGATTGGGTTAGATCACTGATTTTCTATTATTATGAAATTAAACCCAAAGAGTTATTGACAGGGAGGATGAATAACTATTTCTAACACTAGACTTACTCTGATATGATCAGGGTCCTAAAATGGAAGTGTACGCTTCTTAAACTGTGAAATGGAATCACCTAAGACAGGGGTCCCCAGTCCCTGGGCGACAGACCGGCTCAGGTCTGTGGTGTTAGGAACTGGGCCGCACAGCAGCAGGTGAGTGGTGGGTGAGCTAGGATTACTGCCTAAGCTCCACTTAGGAATAATCAGATCAGGGGCTAGATTTCCATGGGAGCTGGAACCCTATTGTGAACTGCTCATGTGAGGGATCTGGGCTGTGCACTTCTTATGAGTGCACTAATGCCTGATGATCTCAGGTGAGGTGCAACAGTTTCATCCCAAAACCATCTCCACCCCAACCCCCATCCATGGGAAAATTTTCTTCCACAAAACCAGTCCCTGATGTCAAAAAAGGTTGGGGACTGCTGACGTAAGAGACTTGTGAAAAATGCAGGTACCAGACTCTACCTTAGACCTAGTGAGCCTGAATCTCTGATGACAAGGCAGGCAATCTGCAGTTTTGACATTTTCTCAGGTGATCATTATGACCATCAATGTTTGAGAACCACTGCCTTAGAGAAATCCTGGTCCTTATCACACCCAGTGCAGGGATCAATCCTAATTCAGAGGTCCCTGACCTTAAGATAAGGTGTTTCTGACGCGAGGGTAGATACAACTCCCAGGAAGAGAACAAAATTAGGCATGATAAAGCTAGGAAGGAGGTCCTTTTTAATTCCTAGTACTATCCCAGACTAGTGAGCTTTTAAAATAAACCATTCATGGACCAATGATTCTGTCCATGCAACTGATGTGTACTGACGTGGATACGGGCTTTGGCACTAGGGTGGGTAGATTTGAGTTGATTCCCAGAATTATCACATGCTGGCTGTGTGACCAGATGCAGGTGAATGAGGCTCTCTGAGTTTCCATTTTTGTTTTTTCTAAAATGAAGATGTGAGAACCCCTTTCACTCACAAGATTGTGGTGAAGACTGTAAGGGCAATGACATATGTAAAAATGTACTGTTAAGCCTCAAAACTGTGAATGGAATCACCTAAGACAGGGGTCCCCAGTCCCTGGGCAACAGATCGGCTCAGGTCTGTCTGTTAATTATTGCCTCTGTTAATTATTATTTTCAGTGCATAGGCCAACTTAAAAGGCTCACTTCTAGATCATGTGTTTGACATCTCCCAGCTTCTCATGGCTGATAAAGTGGACCCTGAGTGTCAACTTCACCGTAGACACAAATGACATCCATGATGTGCCTGGGGACAGACCCTGTTACAAGTCAAGGAGCACGGTATGAGTAATCACTTGGTCCCCCAGGTCTTCAGCCATAAAATTAGAGATGAGTTTCCCATTTACATAGATGAAAATGCTCCACGCAGCCCATACCATGGATAAGTAAGCATCATATTCCTGCAGGTCATAACATTGCTCTGCTTTGAAGAGTATTAGAGCTCTACTTCTGCTAAATGCCAGAGCAAATATACCATTCAATTCAGAAGTGAATATTGACACTTACAAAATGTAAGGAGCTATATAGCTCAGAATAAACACTTTGAAAATTGAAATAAAGAAGGACATCTCACCTGTTGAATTACAACTGGACATTTGTGGTGGCTCAGATGCCCTCTTCTGCTGCAGAAAGAACCAGGGAACTATGTTTTACCTCACTTAGTCACCTTCGTTATTCCTTTCTGCAGGCTCCAGAGTCCCCAGAATTGCACCTGCACATATAGCCACTATGTTTGTCGAACTGAATGTATACATTTTATCCAAAAGAAAATCTTCATCTAAGACACCTTACACTGGTGAATGTGTTGGTTATAACATAATCCTTCTCTGTAAAACTCTGCTACTTTCTACATATAGCTTAGACAGAATCTCTTATTTGATGAGTCATTGACAATCCAGCATTTTCCAAAATGCATTCTGTAAAACACTAATCCTGTGAGATATCCCTTGAAAGGGAGGGTCCCATTGTCAAATAACTTTAGGAAACATTACCCACCTCCTCTTGGGAGGTCTTAATGCAAAATGGCATATTAAAGGCTCTGAGAAGTCCTGCAGCAATCCTGTATTTTGTTCTTTTTTTGAGAACCTGTTTTTAAAATTAATGTTTTTAATTGACAAAAAAAATTACATACATTTATTATGTCCAACATGTGTTTTGAAATATGTATAGTTTATGAAATGGCTAAATTAGGCTAAGGAACACATGCATTACCTCACATATTTATCATTTTTTTGTGGTTGTGAGAACTCTTAAAATGTACTGTCAGCAATTTTCAAGAACACAATACATTGTTGTAAACGATAGCCACCATGTTGTATGTTAGATGTCTTGAACCTATTCCCAATCTCCCCTTTCCTACCAGCCTCTGGTCACCTCTATTAACTCTTTGCTTTTATGAGTTCAACTTCTTTAGATTCCACAAGAAAGTGATACAGTGTGGTATCTGTCTTTCTGTGCCTGGCTTATTTCACCTAATATAATGCCCTCCAGGTTTGACAGCATGATAATATATGACACAACTGGGTAAATTTTGCTCTTTCTTGTTATGTCAGCTTCCTATGCCTCTGCTGGTGTGACACAGGCTGTACGTCCTGGAAGGAAACCATCCCCTTTTAGGCCTTTAATTGCTGCTTACTGCCTGTTTGTCTCTAGACTAACCTAACTCCCAACTGACTAAGCTTATGGTGATATTGTGGCCTCTGGTTGCCCTTCAAGGTAAAAGTTAAAAGCATTTGTTTTTCTACACATTAACTCATTTTTGAGTAGTCAATAAGTTCTCATGTTTCAAATACCAAAGGTAAGAAAAGGTGTTCAAGGAAAAGTTTCCCTCCCACCTACTCCAGGTATTCAGTTCCCACTTTTTCATCACCAACACCACTGGGAGTAATCACTGCTTTTAATTTTTTCTTTAACCTTCCAGATTTAGCCATATTCATGCTGATATATATCACACACACATAAATAGTGTCCATTCTCTTTTACAGAAATAGTGATTATATACATTTTTTGAATAGCAAAAATTATCATCATCCTAAAAGATGTAAACTTCACAAAATTAGATTCTACTTCCTTAACTTCCTCATATAAAGAAAGATTTATATATATGTTTGCAGAAGGTTTTGAGCTTTGAGGTCTTGCATTTGGTAAACCAAGGCCTCCTACAACATGAGAGCCCCCCAGCATGACTAGTGCTATGTGTCAAGTTCTTGGGTGAGCAAACCAAGGCACAAGGAGCCTTTCAACCTTGCCATGGTGGAGGAGTGGAGAGACCTCTATGACTCCTCAGTGCTTCACTGCTGATATGAAATATGCATTCTGCAAAAGCAGGCTTTAAACATAAAATAAACCAGGTGCACGGGCTCAGCACTGTAATCCCAGCACTTTGGGAGGAGATCAGGAGTTTCAGACCAGCCTGGACAACACAGCAAGACCCCATTTCTAAAAAAAAAAAATTAAAAAATTAGGCAAGCGCGGTGGTACACACCTGTAGTCCCAGCTACTCGGGAGACTGAGGTGGAAGAATTGCTTACGCCCGAGTTTGAGACTGCCGTGATGGCACCACTGCACTCCAACGTGGATGACAGTGCCATGAGACCCTGCCTCTAAAAAACAAACAAACAAAAACTACCACCAACAAAAAAAAAAACAGGGTAGGTGTGGTGGCTCATGCCTGTAATCCCAGCACTCTGAGAGGACGAGGCCGGTGGATCACCTGAGGTCAGTACTTTGAGACCAGCCTGGCCAACATGGTGAAACCCCATCTCTACTAAAAATACAAAAGTT